ACCGGCTGAGCGCAGAGAGCAGCCCGGCCAAGCGAATTCCTGGGATGCTTCCTCCGCTCCCCGCTTCGGTCCAAGCAGGAAAGCGCCCGCCAGAAGCGGTCCAAGCCCACGGACACGCAGGCTCCCACGGCGCCGGGCTGCGACGCAAGCCGCGTCCTTACCTGCCTGCTCCTGTAATGGATGTGCGTGAGTCGGAGGGAGAAAGGATGGGACAGCAGCCAAAAAGGAGAAGGAAAGGAAGAAAAAAACCACCCCAAACCTCCCTAGGGAAAAGAGAACTTGGGCATCTCGTTGTGTGCATTGCCCTCGGGTAGGGCTGAGGAGCTGGAGCTCGTGTACAGCGTGATGCACACCTGGGGCAAGTGTTTTAAAATAAAGATCCATGTTGACATTTAATGGATTATATATTATCTGCCTACTCATCTCCAAATCTACAACAGTTGTCTGTCATCTGCCACTCACTTGCTTCTGAAAAATGAATGACGAGGGGTAGAGGGGGTCACAGAAAAAGAGATTTTTTTAGTAGAGGAAAAGTTTGGGGCGAACCTTAGAGAGACTATGGAAAATGTGTTGCCCTTTGGAATTCAGACCAAGCTGTCCCATCAAATTTATTCAAGGTAGGAACCCACCCCAAACATTTTAATAGCCTCACTATTTTACAGAAAGGCTACACAGCCATTCCCACAGGACGGGGGGGAGAGAGACGCTTTATTGGGGGTTTAGATGCTTTTTTAAAAGTTTCATTAAAGCACTGTTAAATGCCCGAACCCCCGGGGTAAGTGCATCCCCCCCAAGCCCCACAAGGTCTCCTTGCAGGGAAGGTGCCGCCGCTCCTTACCTTTCTTGGAAGCCACCGGTTTTTGCCGGGCTTTGGTGTTTTGCTCGCTGGAGACCTGGGCGAGGGAGAGGAGGCAGAGGAGGAGGCAGGCTCCCCAGAGCGCCATGCCGCTGCCGTCCGGTGCCGAGTGATGGGCGGTGGAGCGGTTCCCTCGGCCGGCACAC